GAAATCTAGAGTTGTTCTTGATTGAAACTGGCAGGGTATGTTAAGCTCACCGAGTTGTATAACCAACATCCAGGTTTTCCAAGTTCGAGTGACCTGAGGTCATCTAGAGGTCACGAATGCTTCCATATTAACCCTCGCCCGTATTGGTGTTTTTCCAGCCGCGAACGTGAGGGGGGGGGGGTCCGTTGGACCCCCCCTTGCCGTTTCGCCCCTGATCGAGCTAGAGCTTCGCGGAAAAAACGAGCGTGTTGCCCGTGACGAGAGGAAGCCGATGATACCCAATTTTAAGGTCCTAGGTCATTGGTTGACCTTGCAGGTCAGGTCAATGACCCCAAAGGCGGGAAAATCGGGACCTGTTAGAGCGTCGTAAAGTGTGGCTGCTATGGGGTTTTTCGGGGTGCTGATCACGAATATCATGTTAGTTTTGATCACAGATGATGTCTTCATGTATTTAGGCCAGGTCGGGTCAGGTCAGGTCAGGTCAACCGGTAATGGTATTCGTAGTAGGTGGCAACCGCCTCTGACAGTTTCGTAACATGTTACGAAGGCACCAAAACTACTTCGTAAATGTTCAAATGGTTGCTAAATTCGAATTCAGCTCCAAAAACTGGCCTAGAAACATGTAAAACTCGAAAAAGTGAACCGAGGTCATCAAAGGTCAATGACCTGACATCACCTTCAGGTGACCTTGACACCCACCCTAATGCATGGGGGCAACATCATATTACATGTTTGAACGCTTGAAACCACGAAAAGACTGCAAACGCGCGGCTAATGCGAGCCGACATACGCCGAATCGCGATTCCAGCCAAACATGGTCTCGAAAAGTAGGTCACAGGTCAAAGGTCATTTGGGTCAGAGTCATGAAATTTTCAGGGTAGGTGTGAAATTGATGAACGCGAGCGTACTGAAATTTTCTTTGCGATCGGTCGCTTTTTACGCGAGTTATTCGCGAAAAACCATGGGGGGTCCGTTCGACCCCCCCCCCCCCCTATACGGGCGAGGGTTAACCCGCGCCCTGCTGGGGGGGGGGTGTTTGAACACCCCCCCTTGTGGTTTTTCGCGAATATCTCAAAAACGGCGGCGCGGAGCGCCGCCGTTTTTGGTACACCTTATCATACATCAATTCTACACATGTTGTGAAAATTTCAGACCAAGGTCAATCAAGGTCAGGTCACCAGGTCACTTGAAGTGACCTCACCTCATAAAAAGTTTCAATGTCTGTCATAGCTACCATGAGTGACCGATCGCTTTGAAACTTTCAGCGATTGCTAAGAGCAATAGCATGTACAAAATGTATATCTCAGAATTTTGATATCGATGACCTAAGGTCAGGTCAATTTTGCGACCTCCCCATTATAAGTCAATGGGAGAAAATTGAAATGCGCCTCTTTTGGACGAAAGACATTATAAACACTCCCAAACACTGAATTACAAGTGGTTTAGACACACTGAACATGAAAATGGTGTCCGTGATCCCTGTTTATGCCCTGAGGTCATCTTAGGTCACGAATGGTATCTAACAGTTTTTCGCAAATAACTTTTGATAGAGGCATGCTAGAGCGATGAAAACGCCTTAGATGTGTTCAGCTCGACGATACGGATCGACTGATATGCAACATGACCCTTTCCGGTCAGGTCATGACCTTGACCTGAGGTCAAATTTTCAAGTTGACCTTTCAAGGTCAAGTTATAGTTCATTCGATGCGTCTTGACGAGAGGAACACGATGCCGGTAAAAGTAAGCTCGTACAAGGCTTGGGTCAAAAGTTATTGCAGAGAAACTGTTTCCGAAAAAATCGGCTATTTTTGCACTTTTTGCCCCCTGCAGGCAAAACCGTTGACGTTAGGTCAAATCTGAGAGAATTACTCAGAAAGGGCGTTAATAGGGCTATCGAATGCGCTTTTCCGCGGCGCTGTAGCTCTATTGGTTCCCGAGTTATGCGTTGGCTTCTTGGAAATTGTCGACCTTCGACCTGGAAATCGGCGAAATTTTGCCTTCAATGACCTCTGGTGGCCTGACCTTTGACCTGACCAAAAAATTGACCGAAGTGATTTCCTCATTATTTTTGACGCTCTTTCGAACGCCGCCTTCCGCGTATCGCTACGTGGCCCAGGAGCCGAGTTAGAAGGGGGGGTGTTCAAACACCCCCCCCCCCAGCAGGGCGTGGAAATCCAGGACCCCCAGCAGGGCGCGGGTTAAGAAATGACTTAGTGAGTGGGGCACTGGGGCACTGGCTGCTAGCTAGTTTTTCTTTTTCGGGAAACCGAAGTGGTAGTACCGGACGTCCGGCCGGACCTTGATTTTTGCATTTGCTTCTGGGTGGGCAAATCGACGCCACTGGGTGGGCATTTAGGGTGGTGGGCATTTGCCCACCCAGTGGGTAGGGGAAGTTGGGGGAACGCCGAAGACTTTTTTTCTGACGCCCGTAGCACGCAAGGTAGACAACATAAGCTATTCTTGTTGGCGTCATTCGAGAGGCCAGTCTTTTGCCTTTCAAACATACCAGGCGCATTTGATGAATTCGCATACCGTTAAGCGCACAAACTAAAAATATCAAAGAAGTGACTTTTTCGGCGTTGCCCCGGACTGCGGGGAAAGCCGAAAATGGGAGAAATGATCTACGGGGAATGCCGACATTGATGTTTTGCCATTTTATCTCAAACTTTATCCAGAATTCATCAAAGCTGACACGCGTTTTAAGAGCTTGAGGACGCGGTGCACACTGGAAGTTATAATTGTGTGATATAATAAGAACATGCCAGGTAAATCATTCCTTATAGGTAACAGGCCGTTGTGTCGGTTGAAAGTGTAATTTGTGTGACTAAAAATACGCGTTGCTATTCTACAGCAGTAAAGTCCACGTAGCGTGCTTTTAACACGTGCGTAATCGCACGTTTTCGGCATTACCCCAGCCTGCCATACTTTCATTTGCAGGCCCATAACTTTTCAACGTGCTGTATAAATTTCAAATAGGCAGCACACTTATGCAAAGACATGCTAAAGATTACTTGACCGAGTTGGCCAGACAAACGGTAGCATAATGAGTAAGAAATGCAGCTTCAAAGGCGCATGTAGTACAAGGGAAACGTACCTTGAAAACGCTCTTGGCGCCCTCACAGCCGAAGTATTCCGAATGACGACTCGTAACAAACATGCGATAATTGTAGTCACTTAAGCTTCAGAGCATCACTGACAGGTGGCATCCATGTCTTACGGTTTTCGAAATATCTCGAATTTCGGCTTTGCCCCAACTCCGGCATTGCCCCAACTTCCCCTATGTTAGAGGAGGCCCTGGAGTCGCTCCGTTTTTTTTTAGTCGCTAAGTTGAAACCCTTATTTTCTGCGATTTTTCTCCGTGAACAACTTTTTTGACGAAAAATCGCCGAACATGACCTTAGTTTGACCTCTATAGGCCGTGACCTGAGATGACCTGGGACCTATTTTTTGAGGAGTTTTGTAAAATTGATGTGCGGAGAGGAACTAAAAGTTTTAAGTCGAAATTCGCAGCCGTTTCTGAGTTATCTCCAAAAAACCACAGGGGGGCCCCTAACGGGTCGCGGGTTAATGTTGATTCGGTACTTTGGGGAAACATGCCCCGTGCCCTCCTAAATCCGTAGACTGTCCTTCAAGCAACCAGTCAAATAATTTGTTACGTACTTGTGATGAGAAACAAAAGCCGATCTGGGACTATTGAGAGTCCAGTACGGTCGGGTGCTCCCCATGCCGGTCTCTCGGCCCATAAGCCGGCTTTTGGGTGGCATCCGACTCTGAGAGCCCTCAGGACGGTCTCTGTGGGTCCCATTATTGGCTCCAAGGCCCCTCACGACATCCTTTGAGGGCTCCCACGTTGGCTCCACGGAGGTCCCCACGATGGGCTCGAGGGCCCTCAACCATCATGAAGACCTATAAGGGCCCCACAACGGTCTCCGGACGCCACCACGGAGGCTTGTTTGGCCGCGCTGGAAGATGATGGCCCTAACGATGACCTCTGAAGCCCCTTACGATGACGTTTAGTGTCTACTGCAGGCTCGAAGGGACTACTGATTTGTTCGGCTGATTCACATGCCCATTTGTCACTTATAGTGCAGGGTGCATCTTCCCCAACGCCAGGGGCGTCTTTCCCACTCTGCGGGGTAAGATGCCCCCTTTCACTTCTTCAGGAAAAGCTGAACAGCAAAAACAGTTTTTTATCATATTTCAGGCACGAAAGTGTGATTTTTTGTTGTTGAGAAAAATGAGGTCTTCCGCTGAAACTCCCATGTTTTTGCTTTCCGATCATTTTCGATTAATATATGACAATGCAAAACCCTGGGCTTCTTACCCCACCCTCCCCTATAATGGAGAGTTCGCAAAATTGACCTGACCTGAGATCACCGATATCAAAATTCCGAGATATACCTACATTTTGTGCATACTATCGCTCTTATCAATCGCTGAAGTTTCCAGATGATCTTTCCGTCGGTGTAGCTATGACGAGGATTCATATTATTTCTAAGGTGAGGTCACGACGTGGCCTGGTGACCTGACATTGCGAGCCCTGGATCTGAAATTTTTACAACGTGTGCGGAAAAGATACATGAACAGATGTGCCAAAAAAGGCGGTGACATTGCTCGGAAACCTAGGTACGGGGACCCGCAGTTGCTACTGTACAGCAACCCTGAGTAAATTGTCCCAGCACCCTCACAGGGACACAACGATAAGCTGTCAGAGGGCACGCACCGAAAACCTCAGCTGCTCTTGTACAGGGACCGGCAGTCGATATCATTGTTATCGGTTGTTACTGGACAGGACAGACGGCTAGAGTTGGGGTTCGTGTACAGTAGCAACTGCGGGTCCCCGTACCCGTGATGGAGACCGCGATAGATATAATCTCTGAAGATCGTTCTAAAGGTTATTTTCGTCGACTTGAGTAGTCAGGAGATGTGATGCTTTTCATTTGCAGCTATGCGAGACCCTCAGTATGATCCTATCGGTGAGAATAAATCTACTGTTCCAGAGTACCATGGAGCCGCCACCTACTGGACGCGCCCGCGGACGCGCCCGTGGACGCGGCCGCAGTCAGCAGCAGCAGCAGCAGCAGCCGGGAGCCGACCGGCGACCAGGCGAGCCGGCCACCGTGCAGGCGGCGCAGGTCAGTTCCATCCCCTGTACTGTTCTTGTTCTTGGTCAAACACTTATAAAAAAAAACATTTTTTTTGAAGTTATGTGTGTCGTGACGTCATAAAAGTGTTCGGACGCGTATTCACCGGCAAACACCTCGATTCAGCTGATAAGTATATTTACAATGATCGTACGGTACACGTTAACCTAGTTAACAACCCTGTGCTGATTCCCCGCGCCTTCCAGCCTCCGTCGTCCGTCCCGCTCGAGCTCCCCGTGCTGAGCTACCCGCTCGGCCCGAGCTCCTCTCGCCGAGCCACCCGCTCAGCGACTGCCCGCCGCCGGCGATGCGCCGCATTATATAGGGGGGCTGGGGCGCCCGCCGACCAATCAGCGGCCCCCACGCCACCGACGTCATCACCGCCGGCAGAGCTGCAGGTTTGGCGGCCGTCGCCCGCCGCCAGCCGCCGGCCGGCCGGGCGGCCGTGCGTCGCTCCCCAACACCCCCCCCCCCCCCCTACACACAGGAGAGGAGCATGGCCGCTCACACACATACACTACAGCGCCCACAATGCACGCGATTCACGGACCCCGCCTGATACTGTACCGGGGGGCGGTTGAGACGCCCGTACGTCGTTCGGTACGGCGCAGGCGGACCGAGGGCGGCAGGGGGCGGTTCGGGTCCCGCGCCGCGATCTGGGCGATGCTGCGCACACCATTTAGCGATCGGTGGTCTCATTCTGCCACCAGGTACGCGCTCGAGGGGACGTGTGACCAGTTCCGTCTGTGTCAGGGTTCTTGGCGACGGTACCATCTTGTTCCGCCTCTGGCAGAGGGTACACGTCCTGCAGTGCTCCTTGATGTCCTTATACAATATTCCGGGCCACACGAAGTTTTGCTTCACCCTTAGCGTGGTGCGGCGGTGTCCCCTGTGCCCGCCCGTCGGTTGCTCCTGTGCCAGCTGCATCACATGGGTGCGCAGGGAAGGCGGCACCGCCGCCCTGAACCCACTCGCCGTGGTCATGCCGACGAGGTCGTTCACCACCCGAACATGGAGGGCTCCTGGTCCTAAGACCTTGCCCCACTCTCCCAGCATCGAGTGTCGGGGGGCGTCTGATGGCTGAAGCACCGTCGGGCGTAGTTGAGCGGTGGGCTCTCGTCTTGCGCCCTTCGCATGTCGCTCCGCTCCACCGAGCTGGCGTCGCCTGCGTCGCCGTCGACTCCTGGACGGTTGCTGGCCTGTGCGTGTCTGTCCGCCACCAGAAGTGCTTCGCTGGCCAGGTTGACCTCACTGCTGGCCAGGACGGTCTCCCTGTCTGTTTGACGTGCGTTGCCGCTGCTGGGCGACCCGCCCTCGTAGCGGCTCACGCTCTCCGTCTCTGGTCCATTCGTGGTCACTGCGTCCTCGAAGTAGCCGCTGCTGGGCTGCCCGCCCCCGCAACGGCTCGTCCCGGACCCGTGGGGCTCGACGGGGACCCCACATGGGGTCGCTTGGGTTGGACTGTGTCGTTGTCGGTTGAACCCTGCCGACTGGAAGACGGCGCGAGCAGTGCCCATCACTAGGGCCACTGCCCGCTCGCAGGCCTGTGCGCAGCGCCTTGCCAGACCGGTGTTCGCGGCCCCCGAACGCTCGCAGCGCCCGGGCCCCTGCAGCCTCACCTCCGCGTGGCTCGGTAGGGGGAGCGTCAGGCTCCCGAGCCTGATAACCCCGTTCCCGTCGTCGATGACCGTTTTTTTTTTTTTCGCGGCAGCAGAAGTCTCTTCCGAGCACAATGTCGTACAGCAGGCCCCCAACTATCTCCACCTCCGGACAGACGAATGTCTTCTGCTGTATCTCGAGCCCCAGATTGTGCACCACTCCTAGCATCTGTAGCTCGTTACCTCCGGCCCCCCTCGCGGGCCGCGTGCTCGGTGAGGATTGGAGGTGCAATTTTTCCCCGATCATGTCCCAGAAATCCCCCCTCATCATGGAGAAGTCGGCCCCGGTATCCACCAGAGCCCAAGCCTGGTGACCCGCAACCCGCACCTTTACGGCTGATGCCGTCAACCCCGCGCTGTGGGACTCTGATGGATTCCGTACCGGCACTCGTCCCGTCGCACCGGCAGTGGCGCAGCCAGGGGGGTGAAAGGGGTGAGATCTCACCCCCGTCTCTTATCCTAGGGGCCCACCGTCGATTCGAACTGTAACGTTATGCAGCCTGACAATTTTTTATCATAATGTCAAGGTCAGTCATAGGACTGAAAAACATGTTTTCAGGCCTGATAGCCCCCCCCCCCCTTAGGATTTGTAGTCCCATTTTATGATTTAAGAGGGTACATCCAAGACCCGAATGAACTAATCCAAGGCCTAGGAGGGCCCGTACCATGGCATGAGAGGGCCATTTCAGGTCTGATAGGGCCCATTTCAGGTCTGTGAGGGCCCATTTCAGGCCTGAAGGGGCCCATTTGAAGCTTGAGAGGGCCCATTTCAGGCCCAAGAGGGCCTGTTTGAGGTCTGAGAGGGGCTATTTCAGGCCTGAGAGGGCCCATTTGATGCCTGTGAGGGCCCATTTCAGGCCTGAAGGGGTCCATTTCAGGCCCTAGAGGGCATGTTTTAGGCCCGATAGGGCCCATTTCAGGCCTGAGGGGGCCCATTTCAAGCTTGAGAGGGCCCATTTCATGCCCTAGAGGGCCCGTTTGGGGCTAGAGAGGGCCCGTTTGGGGCTAGAGAGGGCCCATTTGAGGGCTGAGAGGGGCCCATTTCAGGCACCATTTTAGACCTGAGAGGGCCCAGTTACGGTATGAGGGGCCCTTTTTCGACATTTCCGGGGTGAGGGGGCCCATTTAAGGTCTGAGAGGGTCCATTTTTCAGGTCTGAGAGGGCTAATGTCAGGCCTGAGAGGACCCATTTCAGGCCCTAGAGGACCTATTTGAGGCCTGAGAGGGGCCCATTTCAGGCCCTAGAGGGCCCATTTCAGGCCCTAGAGGACCCATTTCAGGCCCTAGAGGACCTATTTGAGGCCTGAGAGGGGCCCATTTCAGGCCTGAGAGGGCCCATTTGATGCTGTGAGGGCCCATTTTAGGCCTGAAGGGGTCCATTTCAGGCCCTTGAGGGCATGTTTGAGGCCTGATAGGGCCCATTTCAGGCCTGAGATGGGCCATTTCAGACCTAAGGGGGCCCATTTCAAGCTTGAGAGGGCCCATTTCATGCCCTAGAGGGCCTGTTTGAGGCTAGAGAGGGCCCGTTTGAGGCCAGAGAGTTTGAGTTTGAGGGCTGGGAGGGGCCCATTTCAGGCATAAGAGGCATTTCAGGTCTGCTAGAGAGGGCTCGTTTGAGGCCAGAGAGTTTGAGTTTGAGGGCTGTGAGGGGCCCATTTCAGGCATAAGAGGCACCATTTCAGACCTGAGAGGGTCAATTACGGTATGAGGGGGCCCTTTTTCGACATGATAGGGACCATTTCCGGGCTGAGGGGGCCCATTTCAGGTCTGAGAGGGCCAATTTCAGGTCTGAGAGGGCTAATGTCAGGCCTGAGAGGGCCCATTTCAGGCCCTAGAGGACCTAGTTGAGGCCTGAGAGGGGCCATTTGAGGTCTGAGAGGGCTAATGTCAGGCCTGAGAGGGCCCATTTCAGGCCCTAGAGGACCTATTTGAGGCCTGAGAGGGACTACTTCAGGCCTGAGAAGGGCCCATTTCAGGTCTGAGAGGGACCAGTTCAGCCTGAGAAGACATCCCAGGAATGAAAGGATCATCCTATGTATGGGAGGGTCCGTACTCCGTGCCTGGTCTGGGTCTGAGAGGGCCTACCCCAATCCTGATTGAGCCGATATCATGTTTGATATAGGTCAACTCACCACATGTATATTGATGGCCCAGTTCATGTCTAATGGGCCCATCTCAAGACTCAGAGATTTTATGCTTCCGGAAGCCTACCCCAAGCGTGAGGGAGCCCATAGAAGTTTTTGAGGCTCATGGAGGTCAGAAGCGGCGGAACACCTTCAATTAAGGGGGGGGGGGGGCACTGCCCACTTTTGGTCCCATTCTTTCCATGCAACGCCCATAGGGCTAATGTTAAAATGCCAAAATCAAAGGAGGGCACGGTGCCCCGGTGCCCTCCCCGTTCCGCCGCCTATGATGGAGGTCCTGCAGTACGATATGTCAGCCTCTGAGAAAGCCATGCAGGGCCCTGCCAAGCCGACATCTGAAAATCTTCTCCTCAGGCCTGTGCCTGCGTCACCGCCCGGCCCCACCCAGACATCTAGGGGTTTGACGCCTAGGTATTTATCAGGACCCCACACCGGTCCATGATGGCTTTAACCCGCGCCCTGCTGGGGGTCCTGGATTTCCACGCCCTGCTGGGGGGGTGTTTGAACACCCCCCCTTGTAACTCGGCTCCTGGGCCACGTAGCGATACGTGGAAGGCGGCGTTCGAAAGAGCGTAAAAAATAATGACGAAACCACTTCAGTCAATTTTTTGGTCAGGTCAAAGGTCAGGTCACCAGAGGTCATTGAAGGCAAAATTTCGCCGATTTCCAGGTCGAATGTCGAAAATTTCCAAGAAGCCAACGCATAACTCGGGAACCAATAGAGCTACAGCGCCGCGGAAAAGCGCATTCGATAGCCCTATTAACGCCCTTTCTGAGTAATTCTCTCAGATTTGACCTAACGTCAACGGTTTTGCCTGCAGGGGGCAAAAACTGCAAAAATAGCCGATTTTTTCGAAAACAGTTTTTCTGCAATAACTTTTGACCCAAGCCTTGTACGAGCTTACTTTTACCGGCATCGTGTTCCTCTCGTCAAGACGCATCGAATGAACTATGTCTTGACCTTGAAAGGTCAACTTGAAAATTTGACCTCAGGTCAAGGTCATGACCTGACCGGAAAGGGTCATGTTGCATATCAGTCGATCCGTATCGTCGAGCTGAACACATCTAAGGCGTTTTCATCGCTCTAGCATGCCTCTATCAAAAGTTATTTGCGAAAAACTGTTAGATACCATTCGTGACCTAAGATGACCTCAGGGCATAAACAAGGGTCACGGACACCATTTTCAAG